GTAGCTGCTGGCCGGCAGGCCCCAGGGTGTCGTCCACGCCCAACCTGGCCTGAGTGGCCTCCTCTGCTTGGTAGGGAACACTGTCACCCACCGTAGGCAGCGTCCCTCAGGGTGAGATGTGATGCGCTGAAGTGCCGGCATGCCCCCCCCCCCAGTCACATTTGGTGACAATGGGCACCTTCTCCTGTCCCTGTCCCCTCGTTTGCCTTCCCTCGACTGTAGAAATCCAGAGAGGCTCTGGGCGGGGACGCGCTGGGCGTCCTGCCCCCACAAGTGACTTCTTTCTTTTTTTAAATCGAATCCATCAGGTCATCCCTTCTTAGCAGTTTCCTGGGAAATTCTTCATCTTGCGGGTTTCTCCAGCGTCTCGACGTCCGGCGGGAGGAGCAGGGGCCCAGTGCTGCAGGTGGACCCCCTCCGCCTCTCCCCCGCCTCTGGGGACAAAGAAAGGGTCCTCGCTGAGGCCCTGGGCAAAGGGGACACGGCCACACAGCGGGAGGAACCCTGGGGTGCCCTGTCCAGAGCCCAGCCTCTCCCGTCAGCCCCCGTTAACTCCTGCAGGGCGCCCGCTGCACCTGAGAGTGGGCTGGGCCCGCTGATCAAGGAACAGGAGAAAGGAGCAGGAGACGTCCCCTCCTGGGGCTGCCCGTCTGTCTCGGGCGGTCACGGAGGGCAGCCAGCATCGGCAAAGGCCCCGGCCACCTTCCGCCGACTTTCTGCCTTACAACCCAGCCGTGTCCAGGGACCCCGGAGCCTGCCGGGACCCCACCAGGACGCAAAGGGGGCAGCTGGCACTGCTTGCTCCGCCTGCAGCCCCCTTTCTAACTGTGAAGCCGGGACTCTGGGGACAGCGGCCTCCCCTGGGGGACTGTGCACGGTCTCTGCTGAAATGTTCCCAGATGCACAGTTTTGTCAATGCTGTGCGCACGGGGCGGTGGTGTCCCCCACACACCCACGTCTGTGCGGACCACAGGGGGCTCACGTTCTCTCCTCCCATCCGGGGCCGAGTGAGGGGGCTGTTCAGGACCCCCCGGGTCGGCTGAGTAAACCGTGTTTTCTCCGTGAGCCCTAACCCGTGTTGTACCAGCTCCTGGACGAGGCTCATTTATTGGGAATGTCATTCTGCTCCTGACAGTGTCCCCACCTAGCTGTTTGGTCACTGGGACCAAGTTACCCACCAGCTCCCAACTGCTGCGGGGGCTACAGGGCCCCTTTCTCAGGTGCCCTCTTCTGCCTGGGCTCTGTGCCCCGAGCAGGGCGTTTGGAATGGCCAGGGCCGTCCTCGGGAGGCACAGGGGTCTGCTGCGCGGGGTCCCCTCCGTGGGGAAGCTCTCCTCTTTGCCCACTCGCCCGAGGGTGGGCGACTTTAATCTGCTGTGTGGTGCAAGGAGGGTCAAAATGGATCCTCGCCTGTCTGCATCGGGAGCGTCTCAGTGGAAACCCGGTGACGGACGTGCGCCAGCCGCTGGGTTCCGAGGTGCCGAGTCCCCGGGCAAGGAGTGGGTCGGCCGGAGAGCTTCACAGGTGCCACCCAGGGTGTCCGTGACCCTGGAGGGGTCCCCACTGTCTCCGGCTGCATCTGGGTGGAAGTAGCTGACATTTACATTTGTGCCTTTTTTTAAAATTCATTTAATACTAAGTGTGTCTTGCTTTTGCAAAAAGGAAAAGAAGATTTGCAGGGGACCTTGCTGAGGACGTCTCACTTTGGGCCTACTTTGCAGCCGGAGGCTTTGCAGTCTGGTCTCATGGAAACGGGGGCTTCTTTTGATTGGTCCTTGGACCCCGGCCGTGCGGTGCGATTCACTGAGACCTTCTAGATGCCCAGTGGCGGGGGACTCAGTGTGAGCCCACCTTCTAGATGCCCAGCGGTGGGGGATTCAGTGGGAGCCCACCTTCTAGATGCCCGGCGGCGGGGGATTCAGTGGGAGCCCACCTTCTAGATGCCCGGCGGTGGGGGATTCAGTGGGAGCCCACCTTCTAGATGCCCAGTGGTGGGGGATTCAGTGGGAGCCCACCTTCTAGATGCCCAGTGGCGGGGGATTCAGTGGGAGCCCACCTTCTAGATGCCCAGCGGCGGGGGATTCAGTG